AAGAAGGGGGGGAGAAAAAAGAAGGGGGGGAGAAAAAAGGAAGCCCGACCAAAAATAACCTGCAGTTTATAAAGTTGTGTTCATGACTTCCCGAGTAACCTGCCCTGTCAGACAGCACAACTGCTCCGTCACCTACACAGAACCACTGAATAGAATCGTTAAATTTGGCAAGGATCTCCAAGATCATCAGTCCAACCGTCGACCCAACGCCACCGTGCCCGCTAAACCACGTCCCAAAGCGCCACATCTGCATGTTATAGAATCACCGAATCGTTTGGGTTGGAAAAGCCCTTGAAGATCACCCAGTCCAACCATTAACCTGACACTGCCAAGTCCACCACTAAACCAATTAAGGGTCCAGTAATTATTAACTTCACGTTTCCTGGCTTGGTGGCTGGATTATTTTTTAACAAAAGCCAGCCAAGAAGAGAACACGAGCAGCCCAAAGCAAAACCTTCGCTTTGGAGCCTTCAGAGCAGGCTCTCTCCTCTTTACACGCACGGCACGGAGCTCAGGCAGCGGGCAGGTACTGGAAGACGTTCACCGGCCCGGTATCGCTTGAGAACTTCAGCACACGAAACACAAGCACCTCCCTCTGCACACGCCTGCTCTTGAAGAAGCAAGGTCCTACAAGTCCGAGGGACTTCATGGGATCATCCCCCAGCAAGGAACGCGTTTCACAGCAGCCACATGCAGGTGCTAAACCATACGTTCAGTTTATTTTGGCGCTTTGCGGATCAGCGGTCTGAAGACACGAGGATTTTTGCAGCGGCTACGGCACAAGTATGACTTGTAATATCCCCACCAGGTAGAACCACAAAGTCTCTTTTTCCTTGGGCATGTAGGAAGGCTTCCTTCCTCCTCCTCCTCCTCCAGGAACACAATTCAGCCAAAGTCAATTACCCAAAGCTTGCAGGAGTGGCAGAGACAACGGTGGATTTTAAAAAAAAAACAGTCTTTTAAATAAATGTAAGGTGGCCAGCTGAAAACCAAAAGCTCAAAGCGAAACCAGTCATGATCCAGACCGCGATGCACCGTCAGGAGCTGGGCAGCCAGACCCCCAGACTTAGCAATGAGCCACGTTCAAGAGCAGATTGCAAAGTTCAGCCGCGCTGCTGAGCGCTCCCCAGGCTTTGACCTAGGCACTGGAACAGAGCAGGGGAAAAACAACCCAAAATAAACAAGCAAACTCGGTCAGCAGGGAGAAAGAGCAGGGACAGTGACCTCCCCGGCTGAGCGCAGTCACGACAGGCACGTTAACGCGGGGCTGGAATAGTTTTTGCTCCCCTTGCTGGCCTCAGCTTTATCTTCCCAAGACTTCTCACGAGGCTGCGGAGGCCGTAGGAAAAAGACGGCTAAAGGGAGCGTACCAACCCGCAGGATGACTGCGATCTTCACCGTGAGGGTCGCTGCTTCGGGGCAGCGGGGAGCACACGTAGCACGCGAAACTTCACCGCCGAGAGCTCTGTAAAGCGGCGCCGGAGAGAGCGCTCTGGAATGAATTCCCTCCTCGTCTCTATCGCGATCCGGAGTTAACAAAACGCAATAAACCACACCAAACACAGTCGCCTGGTGTTAACTATACAGTAAGAACATTTATTTCATGTCAACGCTTGTAAAAGAAGTCTCTTCCGAGTCGGATGATTTGATACACAAATCAAAGCCACCATATGTTTTTCTTTTAGTCTATACCGAGCTCAAATTTACACAACATGAAGGCTTGTTTCTGAAACAAAATTACAAATTAAATCATAACAAAATACATAAAATTGACTGGACCCTAAGTTTAATTCACTGAAAGAATTCTTCTTTCCTCCGATCACCTTGAACTTTTTTTTTTATCCTCATCCTTCTGCTTGGCCATGAACTCCTGTAGAAAGAAGGGGAGCCAGTGAAAAGACACCGCTACGCTATTCCTCAGCCCGCGACAAGATCACGCTCCAAAACCAGAGCAGGTTTCATAAATGCACTGGCCAAAAGTCAGCCTGCTGACACCAATTACACCGGTAATGGGTGATCTATACCAAAAAGCACTCAAAAGTTTTGACAAACGCACAGCCACCACGTGCTGAAGCTCCCGAGTGGAAACGTGGCGAAATATTAGGTATCAGGATCTCACGTGGTGACGGGCACCCGTGTCTGGTCACGGAATATAAAAGTTATTCAATATTCACCACGGGCTGTGTATTCGTTACGCCCGCCTGACACAAATCTACGTCACTACCAATACCTTCCCAGTTTTCCACCCCTTGCACAGGAAGGGTGCCTCTTCCCCCGGCTGGGTACGCGCCGTGTCCCTGCCGAGGGCTGGGAGCAGTTTTGACCCCAAACTTCAGTTTTCTGGTTGCCAAAGCGACCTTTTGGTCATTTTATGTCTGCGAGGTATTTTAGCTAGCCTGCAGTTTCAGCAAGCCGGGAAATCTTGACAAAACCACGCTTTCGAACATTAACGCTGCATAGTTTTTGAAAATCACTTCTTAAAAACGAAGGGAAGACAAGAGCCATCCCCACGCCTTCCTAGGCGAGGAAGGCTTTATAGGTGACGAGCCTGAGTAATTTAACGATACCCGTGTCCGAGTTTAAAACTAAAACCCCTTGAAGTATTAATATGAGCTCCCTGTGCCACTAGGAACTTACTGGCACTTGTTAAAGCAGACATTTTTAAAACGATATTCTTTTCACCCCTGTGCGTTTGGAGAAGCTTCAGCATTACCTCCATGTTTTGCTGATGAAGCGGTGTCTTGCAGTGATTTTTCACAGACGTTTCATCTGCGTAGAAGAGCGAGCAGATCTGACAGAAAAAGCCTGCCTTTGGAACTAGGTAATCCAGATCTGAAGAGACAGCACACACCATTAACGTTAACAAAACACAGCTCTAAAACATCCCATTAACAAAACACAGTTTGAAAATGAAAAAATGTTTTTAAAAAAAAATCAGATTCCTTTAGCTAAATCTGTTCGATTTGCTATTACTGGAAGGAAATCAGTTACTTTTTTACAGCATTCAAAAAATTAGGCTTCTAATCCGAGTTGGTCACCTGCCCTACTTCCAATGAACAGGAACAGGACAACTCAGCTTCTGGATGTGAAGCTCACTGCAGCTACCTCAGCGTCTTCTGGCCTTAAAAGTATTTTATATACAACTCATTTGCCAAGTGTAACCTCTGCCCTGCAGTGCATTAGGCAAGCATCTTCTGTCACGGATTTTTCCATTACACAAGCCATCAGGCAAGGATCCATATTCTCCCAGCAACTTCTTTTACAGTTCAAGTGTTATCAGTGCTTTTATATAAAAGTATTTTAGATGAGGGTCTTAGAATATATATATACACACACACTTTTAAAACCATGTAAGCAGTTCCCTCGCTTCTATACATTGAGAGAAAGTCGGTAATAAAACTCGTAACAGGATGAGAACAGTAGGTAGATATTACACTGCACTGTGCTCATTAGAAATAAATTAGCCTGTATTTGTAAATTAAATTTTAGGAAAAACAAAAAAGAACTTTCAACTTTGCTGCTGCTATTAAGCCAACAGCAGAAACTTGTTAAAACATGCATTTGTAGGAGCCAAGATAAAAAAACCACAAATTATGGGCCGTGACTTCAAAGTTAAATGCGGTAACGAGGCATAGGAGGCATTTTCGAATGGGCAGGAAAGCCGTCTTCCGGCAAGAAAAGTACGGAGCGTTTGGGGCGAGCTTCTTTGGGTTTACCTTTCGGAGTACTCTGCGTCTTCGATGCATCTGAAGAAGCCGTTTTCTTCCGCTTAGGCTCTGGTTCTTTATCTCCTGATCCCAGCTGATCTGCTGGAGGCCATAAATGCAGGTTAAACAGAGGCACCCGCTAGTTCAAAGGTATTCTGTATCTAGGTGTCATGGCTCGTCGCTGCTTGAAACAAACACCGCCTGCATGGTCCTTACTGGTTTCTACGCTATCCGCTTCGGTCTTCCCATAGAGCGATTTTTGGGAACTCCTGACATCAATCCCGGGGACAAGGCTTCCAAATACAGCCCCGGTGCTGCGGCGAATGGCTCCAAAAGCGCTCCCGACCACACGGCGCTCTTCACAGAAGCACCGCCGCCGCTCCCAGCCGCCCTCCGCTACAGCTCTCACCAGTGGCTCCAAACCAACTCTGCGATTACGATCACAAAAATCTCAACTTCTTTACACCGCAAGCTACCAAGCTTTCTTCAACTAATCTAGCTCGAGGTCCAACAGCAGTATTTCAGCTTCACTACAGAACTGGTCAAAGCCTACCGAGTGTGTTATCAGATTAACCAGCTCTAAGGAAAGATCAAAATCAACATTTTAAGATTTTTCTGGAGACAAGGAGTTTGACAGTCTCCTCTATTACAAGATAAGCAAGGTGTCTGTTTTTTAGACTATCAAAGCAGTCCGACTGGCCGGTGAAGAATCACGCATCAAAAATACCCATTTTCTTTCTAATTCTACATTCAAATAACCTAGATACCAGTACGTCCTAAACAAGGTTAACGCAATAAATCCTCTCCCTTGATAACAAAACCGAGGGAGCCGTCGAAGGAACGCACCAGACAGCGTCACTCTCGCATCCCCTGGATGTTTCAGCAGGCTGCCAGGATCTCGCCGCATCATCGGCGGCCAAGTTTCACATTTGCCATGTGCAGTCTGACTGTCGTCCTTTGAACTGCTGGCCTGAGGCCACCGATAAACTCTTTCCTATTTTGCTGCTGGAATCAGATTTTAAGACTTGAGTAATACGGCTTTACTTCCTTTAACCTCTCCTTCCCAGTTCTCTTGTTCCACTTCTCAAACTCGGGAGGAACCAACCGGTCCTTTCCTAAGCCTACTTCTTTTGCCAGAGGTTTTTACTATACAGAGAGGAACTCACATCACTTATTTACTGTCTATCAAATACATTTATTATAATTTGTTGCTACCGGTTAGATCAGAAATCAACTCAAGGGCTTAGATATTTTACGAGGTCTTTTTACAGCTAACTTGCTAATAGAACATAGAAAATATTTTGCATTTTCAGTAAACGCTTTTGTTAATCATGGGGAAGCTTATGTTCTAGGACATTAACAAGATTAAAACAATATATGACACTTAAATATTTTTGGCTGCATACAGAGTCAACTAATCCCTTTCCTAATGTTTATAGAAACTGAAGTTTAAAACGCTCTGTCTTAAGCAAGGTATCTGCTGCTTCCGCAGCTCCTCCGTATCTGCGCTGCTCGGGTTGCCTCTGCAGTGACGCAAGGCGAGAGCAAAGCTTTTCCAAACCATCAGAACAAAAGGTGCTGTGTCAGTGCCCAGCTACATCAGCAGAGCAGAGAGAAAACTCGGGACTAGCGGGCTGCCTCACGTCGAGCCTTCACCCACGCTTTGGCCAAAACTCTTCTTGCGTGTCGGTTATGCACAGCTCTCCCTACTTCTGCGTTCAGACTTCCTTAACCCTTGCTAATTCCACGCTACAGATGTTCTATGTTTTCTCCTCTAGATCCAGCTTGGAAGCTGTTACGTCTTTGTATCTGTGTGTCTATTTCCTTTGACTCACCTTAATAAAGCTCGGCCCTGTAACTGCAGACTATAAATAATCTGTGTTAGGGAGTTTACCAGGCCTTGCATTAAAAGCGAGAAAAGAAGCTATTCTCCCTGATTTTAGTCATCGTAGACACCAAATGGACACTTCAAATCAACATGCAGCTTAATTTTACATCAAAAGGAAGATGCATTGTAAAATGCCTTAATAAAATATCCCACCTCCAGGCCATTGTTCACGCTCAGTCTCCGTTTTTTCCCCCCAGCACCTCTTTCATTAACTTTGTCAAATATTTCGGGGTTTTCGGTTTCTTCTATTTGCTACAAGGATCTCTTTGTGCGTGGTACCCATTACAAGCATCTTATTTTCTATTTCCCCTCTAGGAACTATGAGAGGTTCCTTACCTTTTGACTTTGGTATCGCAATAATTTCTTCTTCTGGACTCATATCTCCTAGAATTTCCATTTCTTCTGGTCCTGCGACAGCAACAATATCCTCCTCTTCTGGTCCTGCAATGGCAGCAATTTCTTCTTCTTCTGGTCCTGCAACGGCAACAATATCTTCATCGTCTTCATCCTCGTTCGGATTTTTCCCTGGGAAAGCATTTTCTTCTTCCTCATCCTCCTCTCCAACTTCGTCTACTGTAACAAAGTTTAGTTCCTCTTTTAGACGATCAAAATCAGCCAGAAAATCATCTTCGTCCTCGTTAACTTCATCCAAAGTCACGAGAGGGTTATCTTCGTTGTCCTCTTGTATTTCATCGACTGTCACTAGAGCACTGGGATCATCAGGCACCTGAGAGGAAGCACAGTCTCCAGTATCCTCAGCAGTCGCTTTATCATCCTCCTTCTGTTTCAGCACCTCCTCAATATTCAAGTCCGTAGGCTCGTTCAGGGGCAGCTCTTCTACTTCACCAATTTCATCTACGGTTACCAAGGGTTCGGCTTTCAAATCCTGCTCCTCAAAATCTGCCCTAGGGATGTCTTTATGAGAACTAAGGTCCTCTTGTTCAGATATCTCATCCAAAGTAACAAGCGACTGCGGATCCTTTACTGCTTCTGACATAAGTTCTTCCTCTTCCATCACTTCATCCACTACAACCAGCCCCTGCGGGTCACTGAGCGCTTCTAGAGTAGCGACTCCCATTAGCGGTGCGGTCGCATCCTCCTCTTCACCGATTTCATCCAAAGTGACAAACGAGAGTTCGCTTTCAGCAATGCGTGCTATGGAGCTTTTCCCTTTCCTTCTCTTAGAACTGGGCTCGGAAGAGGAGTTGTTTTTAGCACTGTCTTTTCTCTTCCCCCGCGGTGGATTTCGCCGTGTTTTAACGGGAGACTCGACTTCCTCTACGACCTCATCCACAGTAACAAATTCATCCAGGTTAAATGGAAACAACTCTTCTTCCTGGGAAGTGTAAAAACGTGAATATAACAAAGCTGAACATTCACCCAGTGACACCAACGCCGCCGTTAAGTTCATTTACGGTTACGTCCTCACCTCCTTTGGTTTTGCACTGCTGCTAGGGCCACTTTTTGAAGTTTTAGTATTGCCACCAACAGAAGCCTGCAAAATTAGACAAAAGTTCACATGAAATCAGTTAAGCCAACGAACCTGTCCACAAAAGAGAAAATCATTTTTAAAAAAGCAGCTATTTTTTTTCCCTTAGCAAACTTTTAAGTTGTCCAGATTGCTGCTTCTGATCACATGCTTGGCAAATACAGAACTAAGCCAACCGTCAGTGGTAGAGTCCAGGCATACAGTCTCTAGCAACAAGTCACAGGTAATACCTTGCTTAGCAGCCTCTTTTCAGTAACCAGTGTCTGCGCAGGACTTGACAAAGCAAATATCAGCTCACAAAAGGACAGAAAGCTTATTAATTCCCATTCAGAACTAATCCAAGAACATAAAGTTGTGACACTCAATAAAGACTCGCTTCAAAAAATACCTTCCTGCCATTTTTTCCAAGTAGCATTTTCAAACCAGTTACGTACTTGCGTTGCACACGCTGCATCTAAAAGCAACTGGTTGCCCGCCATCTCGCTATTCCAACTTGTCTGTTGGCCCAAACCAGCTGAGTGATTTACGGAAAAGGGAAGGGGAACATAATCTCATTGTCCCATACTCAACATCTGAGAGAAGCATGGAGTTAGTTACTGATCAGGCACACTGAACCGGCCTTCCTGCCCTCCTCACCTTATTGCTGCTGTTGTCTTTCTTCATGCTGGATGATCTACTCTCTCCCTCTTGAGACTGTTTTGAACTAGCCCTAGATTCCACTCGTGAGTCCTTCTCTTGCTGAGATGAATTCCTCCCATTGCCTCCCTTTCCATCAACAAGAGAACTTCTGCTCACTTTACATTTGCCGCCGCCATCTCCCAGGCTCGATCGGCTGCTACCAGGTCGTGGATGACCCTCTTCTTTTGACGCGATTTTCTTCTCCACCGCTGCTTGGCCTCGGGTCTCGGGCTTCGAGGGAGCTTTCTGCTCCCCTCCTTTACACAGGGAAGGCTCATTGCTCCGCACTGGAAGCCGTGACTTTGATATATCCAGAAGAGACACCACGGCCTTTAAAATCGTTTTACCAACAGAGGAAGATTCCTTGACAGATAGAGAGGAGTTTAACGTAACTGCTTTGAGGGTTTCATCGGGTTTTGCCGGTCCCGTTCCTTTATTTTGACGGGCTTTGATTAAACTTCCCTCGTTGTTCTCATTGACAGCATTTGCAGCATTTTCCATAGCAGCCCCAACCTTGGTCGCAGGTTTTTCAAGTTTCTTCTCTGTCTCTGCCCCGGTCTTGACCAAAAGCTTGTCAGGGTTCTCCACCACAGCTCTTCCGACTTTGAGCGCAGACTCTTCTGGTTTCACCTCTGCGTCTGCTCCAGCTACATCCAGTTTCTTCTCCACGGCCGCCCCAGTTTTAAGTACAGGTTTCTTCTCTGTTATTGGAGTTACAGACGTTTTATGTTCTGTTTTCACAGCATCAGAAACAGTATTTTTTTCAGGAGCATCCAACTTGTTTGTCTGTCTGACAACAGATGACACGGTCTCCACAGAAGCTGCATCAGAACGAGGGAGCACCGCTTCGGGGACGGCCCCTCTCGTATCCCCCGCTGCTGGCTTCGCAGCACGATCTGACGGCGCATCTTCAGCCTTGCCCGCATCGGACAATTCTTCTGGGCGCTCAACGGCAGGAGCAGGCAACTCTTCATCTTTAACTTCCTTCTCTGGTGCAGATACAACCGCAGATTCGAACAACGCTGGTTTGGCATTACCTTTAACTGCCTCTTCTTTCTCCACGCTGGAAGGCGGCGGCAGCATCTCTTCTGACTTCGCTTCGGATGATTCGGTAGCAGCGGGTTTGACAGGTGCCACAGGAGCTTCAACTCCAGCGCCCGCTTTCTCCACAGACGTTTCTGCCAGTCTCTGAGCAGACTCCCTTACTGCTCTTTCAAGATGGGACTCAGAGGGCTCTATCTGTACTGCTGACATCTCGTCTTTGACATTAGAGACGGAAACGGGTCCTTTCTTTGCCACACTAGGCTCTACTGGAGGATTAGCAGCTGCTGTTTGCACCACTCCTGATCCCTCTGGATATTTTTTCAAGCCAGAGCTAAATGCATTTAAAAAAAACAGAAGAAATCAAACTATGTTGAGAATTCTACAGTTACCAGAAACCTCTTGACGCCAATGGTGGGGGATTTCCTGATGCATTAGTGCTTAGCATTTGGAAATCTAGCCTATCAGCGTTAAAATGGTTAAAAATATTGAGGCGAATAGCTGATTAGTTTTATGCTTCTGTTTAATCCACCTCAGTACCGCAAGCCTCTTACACTTCGAATTACATTACTTGTAGTCAGACCTCTCAAGGTAGCACTCACTACAGATGTGCCCCGTGACCTCAGCGCTGGCGTGAACTCCTAAAATTTAGATCCCCTGATGCGAGGCAGACTGTGAAAGCGCATACACAGCGAAAATAAAACTTCAGTCTCCCTGTATAAAGGAATTACCAGAGTTTTGGTTTGTGTGAAGACAGCAGACTCTGCAGTCACCAACCTAGAGAGCTCTTCCAGTAGCTAGGAGGCTGAAGTTTGTGAATATTTTTTTTTGGTTTTGGTTCAGGTTTGGGGGAAGGGAGGGGTCACTTTGGTTTTAAACTGCATTGACCTCGCCCAATAGCAGGGAACACGATACGTGCACAGAGGCTCCTTTCGGCCAGGCTCTGTTTTCACTGCATAATCCCACTGTCAGCTCCCAGGATAACAAAGCCCAAGATGACAATGCAGAGGATAGCGCTTTTCAGAGAACCGCAGTTAAAGTGCATTATGCTTCTCTGAAAGAAAGAATCCTCCGTAGATGATCTTGGGAGACACTGAAATTAGAGATGACTCTGCCCCTTTCCCCGCAAAGCTCGAGAAAACGAGCATCCCAACACCTCATGCATCTCTAGATGGGAAGGTGCCGAAATACCAATGCTGACAATCTCGCTAAGTGCTGAAACAAACACAGAAGCAGCAAACACACGTAATTAATCAGCGGTTATGCACGATGGAGCAGCCTGCGCTATGGTTTCTCAGAACCTAGGCGTATGAATAAAGGGTGCACGTTTGTATAAACCCTCATGAAAGTAAAAAAAAGAGCAGAGCAGCTCTTTTGGTACTACTCCCAGCGTGATGTCAGCAAGAAACTGGAAGGCTAGATCAAATGGAACTCAGCGCTGACGGAAACGTTAAGTCTTGAAGTGGCCAGATGCGAGGGTTAACAAGACGAAGACACAATACATGGAGCCAGCAGAAAGATGGAAACGGGCACACTCAGTTAACAACTGTGCTACGCAAGCACGACAAAAACACCGATCTCGAAGGTTTCCTCCAGACCCGAGGGCACTGTCCTCTGCTGCTACAAAAGGCGAGAGGAGAGAGAAGAAGGGATAGGAATTCTGCTTCCAAGTCTTTCGCGCCGCCCATCTAAAATCGGCACAGATGTAGCACATCATGACCGCACCGCGGACGGACGCTTGCGGCACGCTACAAGGGCGCTCCCGCCCTAGCAAAGCGGCAGGGCCGCAGCGTTTCGTGGCTTGGCAGGCAGCCCTCGCGCTCCCCGCCGTGCCCCGCAAAATCCTGGGAATCTCCTTCAGAGCCCGAGCGGCTCAACTCACAGTAACTGCAGTCTTATGAAAGAAAAGCAACCTTGCTCATTCCGGCATCACGCTCATCTCGAGCGGGCTTCTCTAGACCTGTAATCAATTTAAATTTGTTACTTGTAAATGTTTCGGGGTACGTGCGCCTCACGAGTGACTAAGCAGTCAGGGCTGATCTGCTTTTTATGCCCCAGTATCGGTTTACTCAGTCACAACACAGAAGATATTTCGACATCGATGAAGCATTGTTTGTGTTCCAAAAGCAAAAAAAAAGATTTCAGTTAATTTTCTCTTCTGTTTCAGCATCCTACAGACTACTGAGATTTATGTCTCACGTGTCTGTGTAGCAAAACACTACCCGGGTAATTCAGAGCCCAGAAGTGCAGCTCTGAAAGCCCAGCCTTGTCACTGATGCGTAGAAAACTTAATTAAATACAAGCTCTAATGCCTTGCTAAACTGCACCCCACAGCCTCTGTTTATACGATTTGCAGGGAATGGAAAAATGTCAGTGAACGCTGGAACCACAGACTAACCACACAGCTTACGGCGAGCAGCACACATGTATTATCCTCTACATAATTCAAATGAGATATTGGTCTCCGAATCCTTGGGACTTCATGCCTCCTTTCACGCCAACACCCACTCTGTGCCTTTCGCAAAGCCCCAGTGGTCTCCGAAATACAGCGATAGATTCAAACCGGACGGTGAAGCAGTGGAAGGAGAGCTCTGCGGAGGCAGCAATGTGCAGAGATAAAGATGAGCGAGCCTGGTGAAGCATCAAGGTGCTTGAATTAACACTTAAAAGACCTGTTAGGCATTGGGAAAGAAAGAGCACGTAGACCTGCGAGACAGATTTCCTGCACAGAGGTAGCATAAAGGGTGAAACCAACACTACCTGGTGCTCGGTTTCTGCACGAGCTGCCATAGGCAGGCATCACTGCCCAAATTAGCGAGGGAAAGGCTCGGAGAGTTCAGTCCTAGGAATGCCAGCACGGAGGCTGCATCACAACGGAGACACAACCTGCTTCCTACGCGCTCAGGATTAAAAGGAGCGGTAGAACAGTCCTCGATTCTTAACCTGGCCAAGAAAAGTTTCAGCCAGTTTGGCTGAAGGGAATAAATCCCACCAAAACGCGTCAGCATCCTTGAAAAGAGCAGAGGCATTCACATAAGCACGTCGGTCACCTCAGCTGCAAGGTTAGATGAACTACCTACTCGGGCTGGACAACAACCGAGCTTCCAGAACCATTCCAGAGTTTTTTTTCCAAGATGACCGAGAGGGCAGGCCCAGCTTCTGCTGCTCCATCCCTCCGCAGAAACACGCGACAAGGTCTTGCCATCTAGAACAACATTTAAGATATTTTGCTGCTTCTTGTAAAATGTAACTCAGAAGAATAACCGATCAGGTCACAAAAGCTCACAAGGAGGAAACAGTTGCCTCCGGCAAGGAGAAGGTGCGTGGCGTTATTTCTAGGGGAAAACGCCAGTTTTCCCATCTGTTCACCAGCCACAGCAGGACGCTGGGCAGCGGCTGGCATTCGCGTCAGAGTCGCCTGTTTGGAATAATTACCACCACTAGCTAAAGCCCACCAGTCTGGAATCAAAAAGGTTACCTGCACGTCTGCCTGCGTGCGAGTCGGAGACCGTTTAGACACTAAAGGCTTCCAAAACTGACTAGCGCGTGAGTAGAGGGCTCATTAAATTAGGAGCGCTTAACTTTTTTGAAAGAAACAGGTTTTGGAAATATAGTAACAGTCCGTGATAGTATAATGGCGTTACTTGAAATTCAGGTTTAGGACCATTATTACACAGTTTTGGTTTTTCTTTTAATGATAAAACTTATCCAGAAATATGGATTTGAGTCACAGGTGTGTTAAGTCATATTTGTTAACAAAAACTCTTATAATGATCTATAACAAGAACTTTTATAATGATCTATCCATTTATGAAAAAACACATAATCAAGACTCTAAAACCAACAAATGGTTACTCCACAATTAGAAATTTTACTACAAGCAATGTCCGTAAAACAATTTTAAACGGAACATACCAAAACCACCATTTCCCATTTCTATAGCATCTAAACATTTTTTTAAATCAATTCAGGGACCTGCATCACAGCATGAAGTTAATGTTAATAAGTTAAACAAGGAAGTTTCAGTTTATTTTTAGCATTTGGAAACAGAAACAATAGAGCCAGGTGCTCTGACAGAGGAAAGCGCTGTAGGATGAAATAAAGCAATCACTTCATGGTTAAATACAACGAAAAATTGTCTTACCAACATGTATTTCCAAACATACTTTCCAGGACCTGTGGTAAAATCCTGGCCGTAATTAGTAAGACAGTAATAACTCCACGAACTACACAGGAAACAGCATTTCACCCCGTTTGTCCGCGTTCTTTGCAAGCCCCGGATTTCAAAGAAATCACAAACATTACAGCTCTACAGCAGTACACTACACGCCCTGCACACACAGAACACACAAAAGCTTGAAAGAAGTAACAGCAGGTAAGAGTTGATGGCTCTCGCAGCGGGCCTCTTCGTCAAGCTTAGTTAGAGAGACGGCTCAGCAATCTACTCAGTCTTGGATATGCATTCCATGAACATAGATAAATGAAAAACACCCTTAAATACTTGAAAGGCATACCTTCCTTTGCTTAGTTCCTCTTTCTTCACTTCTTTTTTCGCAACTTCAGCCTGAAAGGCAAAAATCGGGGGTCAGTGTCTATGACTTTCAGAAGCATCAGCACAGAATTTGCATAACCCAGCTCATTAATAACACCCTGAACCCAAATTTAGGCACGTATCACCTGAAAGATCAACTGTCAGTAAATTGTTCTAAAACTGTTCCCCACAGCACACGTATTTCGCAAGGCGACGAATAAAAGCGCATGGCAGCGTAAGGGATTTTAACTAGAAGTTTGCTAGGCAGAACACGTGGCACACCACCGTTTCGTCTCGTCTTCAGAGCTGTCGTGTTCTTGAGCAGAATTAGCTTTTAGTCTGTGATTTACCTGGGGGAGAGGGACATTAAATGCAGCTGTTCCCTGACAGCACCTTCTTTCCTGTACTGGCGAGGATGCTAACAGCTGCGGAGCTCAGGGTGAACGCCGTCAGCCTGACAGGTAAGTACTACGCAGAAAACAGCGGCACGCCTTTTCGGAAGACAAATTATATTCCAAGTCAAGCATCTACAGAAATCCCAAGGCCAGTCTCTAGTCCTTCAAACCTGCTAATGTAGCACTCCCTTCTTGTAGGATGACTACGCCTTTCTGCTACGTAGAATAAACTTGTAGAATAAACGTGAGATGAAACAACGTCTTCCGAAAAAAAGACAACTGCAAACCATGCCAGCTCTGCAGCTATCGCAGTCAGTAGCGTAGGTCCAAGCAATCCAAAAAAAACTTTAAAATGAAATCTCTCCCTCTTTTCTGAAGGCATCCTACAAACTAATTTGAAGACTATCGCTATCAGAAAGAACATCAGATAAATTCAGTGCACGTACAATTCACTTTAATCTTTTATTTATGCACAAAATTTCAAAGCCTTCAGTTTTCCCTTTCTGAAAACATTTATTCCAGAGATAAGTGCCAAAAGTAATTCAAACATGTTATAATGAATTAAAAATTATTTTGTTTTTCCTTCAGACTAGCTTCTGAATGAAAGGCTTCTAGAGAAAACGGCTTAGGGCAAACGGAGCAACGTTCCTATGGTACCTAGGCATAAAATCCAGATTCTGGCAACGAAACCGGGAAGATGGACAAGAGCTAACAGGCTCAAAATGCAGTGAAGGACCACGGCTAGAAAAACTCAAGTTTCCCCTCTTACCAGTGTGACCAGGCATTTTTCTCTCCACCTCAGATATAGATAAAAATAAAGTGTAGGAGCGTATCTCCAAAGTACAGGTTTATTTATTTTGTGCAAAAGCTGTGACAGTCGCATTGACAAAGGCTGGAATGTCACCAGTCGCAGCCACGCTCTATGGCTCTGTATTCCAGTTGCACATCCTCCTTCACCGTCACAGGAGATTCCCCATATTTTTGTGATTTCAGCAGTTATTACGTTCAGACATCATCAGCAAAATTACAGAAACAAAACTACAGTGTGATTAACCAAGCACTTACATTACTGCTATCTGGCTGGCCAACCTCTCTCAATCAGACAAGCACCCTGTATCACCCAAAGCATGCAGCTGGAAAGAAATATTATTTTGAAAACGGAGCGTGAATGCCATTCTTTGTTGGCACTGAACTCTGCCCTGATGAAACATTTATAGTGACAAAGGCACGTTATTCTGTTGCTACACAAGATACAGGGAACTGATAAAAAGCAGATTTGAATCACAAAGTGTTCCCACAATGCATCCTTGAGAGACATCCCTTAGGACGAGCACTTTAATGAATGATATTTTGCTTATTTTCCAGTGCTAAGGGACCTTATTACTCACATTTTCTAGACTCGAGAAGAAGCTCATAAGCCTGATGATTTGGTTATTCTCTTCAGCTACAAAGTTAGTCTAAAGAAAGATATTACTCTAAAATGCATCGGACATCGTCAAACACAACTATAATTTACGTTCTTTAAAATGATCTGAAGTTTACTATATGAACTGAAATACAAAATAAAGTGGCTCGGAATTAAAGCATATTTTGTCCTACACAAAGAGAGTCAGCGATGGGGAGAATCATCCCTGCAATGGGGAAGAAGACGGGGAGAACTCTTGGAACATCTAATCCAGGCTCTTACATCTAGCAGAAGAGAGAAGAGCACCCTACGCACCCGCGCTCACCGGATTTTAGCTACTCAGCACCTCACCTGCGGCGGGTCCCCACCCCGCACCAGCAGTGCCGAGGGACGCACGCCAGCTCACCTGAGCCCACCCCGCCATACCCACGGTGCCACCCGCCACGCTCACCTGGAAGAGGGGCGGCGTTCCTAAGTTAAGCCAGTTCTCTGGATCAAATACGTAATTAAAGAGCATCTTCGGTGCTGTTATATTGACTCTAGGCTAGCAGAAACCTGAACGGGAGGGTCGCTCCTGATGAACAAACTGCGCCCCGTTGGCCACGAAGACTCAGAACGAGAGGGAGGGACGAGCTGGCAAGGCAGGCTGATCACCAAACCTCAAAGCGTCCCACTCGCAGGAAGGTGAAAAACTATAGCTGATTTTACGCGGGCTAGGCTCTGCACGTGCACAGTAACTGCTGATCGACTTGGAAAGGGACACAATGAATCCGCTCGGAAAAACACATCTGCCCAAATCGCATCTGGTCGGGCATCGTTGTATGGCCTAAACCATCGCAAATGCAACTATTGCTATAATAAAATATACAATATGCATATAAATATATGCTATTGCAGGAGAGCCCTGCCAGAAATGTACACCTAGAGTCTCTACTGACACAGTACGTCTTCAAAAACATGAATCCTAAACACCCTACAGCTACCCTACAGGCTTCATAAATAAGGATGCTTTTCAATAAAGCAGAAAAAATTGACAATACAATAGAGAGCAAACTATGAAACAAGGCAACGATCAGTATGCAGCCTACTCTTAAAAAAAATTGAAATTCATTGTGATGCTCAGAGCAAATAATACCGACAGCTCTGTCAGCACGGTAAGCAGTACACATCTGGATGACTTTTCTTCCTCCCTGCTGAAGCAACAAACTGATGCCTTTGTGATCTTTAGGCATCTGCAGTTAAACTTTCCCTTGTGATGAATAAAAGTGAAGGGGGAAAAAAAAAAACAACCCTAAGATGCCCTGCCCCTCCGGGCACATCCTCTTGTTCAAATGGCATCCCAAAGTTGTGCCACTGAAAAGGAACAGCAACACACAGGGAATGAGAGCTCCAAGAATGGAATTCACATGGATAATCACTAAAAAAGAAAACACAAAACCACACCTGGGGAAAAAAAAACCCAACAAAACCAAAACAAAAACCCCAAAAAGCCCTATACGCATTTTGGTCTTAATCTCGGCCGTATACGGTTCACGTTGAACTGGGTAGTCGGTCCCTGTTCTCTCAGTTATGTATCAACTTTGAAGAACAAACGTAGCTGGAATTCAGAGGAATAAAAGTCAAGCCCCATCCCCCTACAATAAATGCAGTTTGGAAGATGTGGCAAGAGATGGAGAGTCGATCGCTGGACAAATATTAAAATCATTTTTTTGGGTAAGGACAAGAGAAAGGAACTGAAAAATGAGAATTTGAGGTCACGCAGAACTAGTGAAATACAAAATCCTCGCGTTCGAGTGCTGAGTCAACAGCGCGTTACCTCCACGCTGCGAGGGACCACGTCGGGATTTACGTTCTCCACTTTGGAAGCCAGAACACCACGAGCACGTGGCTACCGGTCGCATTTCTCGCTTAAAGCTCTTTATCTATCCAACACCACATGCGCTAAGCTCCTTCCTCTCTGGTGTTCTGCTGCTGCAGCTTGCTGTTCCTGCAGCAAAGCACCAGAACTAAACTGGGAGCTGCTCAACGCTGCGAGTCATTTCATTTGTAAGAGAGGAGATGGAAGCAGCTGCGGGCGCACAGACCAGTGCTGACCTAGCAGCTGAGTCTGGAATCAAGAGGACGAAAGCGGATGAACTGTTTAAAGATGAATAAACTCTACTAATTTCAATTAGCAATCCTTTTCTAACCAGTACTAAACAGCTGCTTTCCTCCTTTCTTCCTTTTTCTCTTCATCTTGCCTTAAGAAATACTTTTTCATCGGTGGAGATGAAAGAGATTCTATATATGTTTGTAAAATAGAGGAAGATATAAAAGACAGACAGCAACACATACTTTCACGCCTATGCCGCGTCCCCGAATGCAGACAAGTCGATCCAGTCCCCAGCTCTTGCACAGTTTTCACTCTCGCCCGCAATGGCAGCAAAAAGCGACGGAAATGCTGCCACTGGCACCATTAGCTGCCCCTCACGGCAAGGCGGTTCTAGTCCACAAAAATAACGTGTTCTTGAAAAGAAATCTTACCTCAGCAGACTCTCCATTGGGTGACAACGTACAGGTCAATGTATGCTCACCCATATTATACGGATATTGCTTCAGGAAGCTGCACATTGATCTGGCTGACTTGGGACTATCCAGCTGCAGAATTGCCTAAAAGGAGGAAAAAAAAAAAAAAGCACAAGCTTCAAATAACTGTTACTTCATCTTATTTCTGTATTGCAGAGCAAGTTTAATAAATAAAGTTGATGTAGCATGGGATATCTAGTATTCCTGAAGGGTTTCAACATCTTCACTTTAAATTAGCTATAAGCACCTTTTTTTTTTTTTTTATTAAATCCTACATTCTTGCATACGGAGAACAGGGGACTCTTCCTTCTGAGAGGCTGAAGGAAGAAATTTCTCCTGTTTGGAATTATCTTTAGCACTAAAGAACTACATCGCAGAACAGTGGAGCCTGGAGCTTCCCTACCCACAGGTGTCCAACCTTGCAGCTACAGGAAAAAAAAAAAAAAAAAAAAAAAAGCTTTTTTTCTTAAAAGCATCTTCACCTGTTTTATGGTTTATTAGCAGCTGCACACTTAAAACAGCTCATCATAACGGGAGCGCAACTGCATTTTAATCGTTACAATATACATGTACACACAGCGACTTTAATCTAGTTCATAAAATAAAAATCCAATGTTAAGTGCAAAACCAGCGGCATTAAAAATTAAAATACCAAAATTTAAAAAAAGAAAATTGAAAATCAAGTCACTAGATTTTGAAGTGTCCCAAAACAAAAAGTAATTTCAGCAATTCTGACATTTTTGCTTCTCATATCAAAATAAATTTTTTTGCCATTTCCTACAAAATGGGAACTTATTTTCCCCCCACTTACACCTCTAATGTCAAAGGTTAACAATTTTTCCAGCTGTTTGGGAAAACTTTACTTTCAGTGCTTACCAAACCGGTCTTGTATTGTTCCAGGCTAGGTAACAGCCAAAAGTTTGGTTGGTTGGTTTTGTTTTTTTCCTTTCCCACTGCCCCCAGCAAATATGATGAACTATTTTGTTGTTCAGGATGAGTGGGAGAGAGTCAGAAACTTTGATCTCTCATTAGCAGAACATTCTTGGTACTGGGAGATACTTTTTTTTTTTTTTTTTAATTTTTGTTTCCCTAACATGGTACTTTGCACCACAGGAAAAAAAAAAAAAAAAATGTACCTTGTTTTTATTCTTCAGTACAACATAATGATCTACTTTCCCAAATCGAAGTCCTACACAAACTACTTCAAGTTCTCTGTATCCGTCATCTGGCAAGTTCCCAAGATGCACAAACTGATTATGTATCGTTTCAGTATTTACCTAAAGAAAAGCAATGACAAAACTTGCTTTAACTTTGTGACGCGCTTTATTAGCAACTACTGACCTAGGTTAGAAAAGCCCCACAGAAAGCTTCTGTATCACTCGGATCTTACTGAAAAATCGCGTTCACACACATCCAGTGTTCACATTTTCAGATTCACACCAGATTTTCCAGTTTTCTGTGCAGTACCTCAGAAGAACCAGCTAAGAACAACAAACTTAAGAGGATCAAGTTGAGTGTTTTATTTTAAATTACCTTTTTTTTTTTTAAAAAAAGTACGAAAAGTCTCTTCAAGAACACTGCAAAATATAGCTGAAGTGTGAATAAAATTTGGTCTTTTGCAAAGCAGGCACTACCTAGTCTGATTATAAATTGGCCAAGGCATAGAAACCGATCCGAAAGACTCCGATCCTGGTTTTTAAGTTGGAGTTTGGTTTACTTGATCAGTCTGTAATAACATAAGGATGCTTGGTCAAATATCATTTCTTGTGTTTCTCAATTTTCAACCGGAGTCGTCACCACCACCATAGGGACAGGCTATCCCGGAGACCCGTCACTCTCATCTGACCAGGAGGGATTCCGGTGCAGAACGTACGGGTGGGCTGACAGCAAACGGGAAACGCAGCGCCAGCAGAACCACAGACTGAAGCCTAGCACCAAATATTTTGTGCGGTAACAAAGGGAAGGGTCCTGGGACACAAAGTCCAAAGGTACTCGTGGACTTCAGAAACCTTAAACAAGTCTTATCTTTAAATACTCGAAAGCTGCGTGTCTTTTAGAAACACAATGCTCACTCCCAACAAGGAAGAGATTCCTCCCGCCCCGGTCTGTTATGTTTTTATTCCATTATTTGTGACTTTATCAGGAACAGAAAATAAATATTCCACCACAAGCAGACCAGAAGCATAAGCAGCGGTGTTGGCAGTAACGCGTCTTAGTGCCAAGCAACGATCATGAGGAGAAAGCAGATATCCCCCAGGCACATTTGCAACTGAAAATTCAAGCCTCTGGGGGTTTCTTGGAAAGTGATTTATTGCTGGCAGGGCTCCTGGCAATACGCTTTTTAAACAAATTACCTTCTGATGCTGCTGTTCTTAAAGTCACTCTTGTGAAGTTCTTGTGCTTAAGCCCAGAGCCACATTCAGACCCAACGACTGACCCTCTATCAAGAACATCCTGAAAACATTTTTCACAGAAGCAAGACGTAAAAGCTAGAATTTATTAACCTCTGCCTACCCACAACTGCGTAACAATCAGTGCAATGCGTACATCAGTTGCCAGCTTGCACTGGGTGCAGCGAAGGAACGGGAGGGGCAAGGGCGATGCGCTACACTGAACAAAGCACAGCGGTAGTTTTTCTAGTTAAACCGAAATATCTGTCTATAAAGCCCACCGGGAAAGCGGGTGGCATTATATACAGGCAAACACCGCCTGTTCTCCAAGCTATAGCGGTCAGCAGCTTGGTGTTAGAACACGAGAAAAACATAACAGAAGGAGGGGGTCTCAAAGGATTCCTATTAAATTTTTAATTCCTTGCACTCCATGCACCATGGAGCTAAACTGAGTGAACGTTTACCCATTCTATTCCCTGCTCATTCATCCATAAAAACATGTATAAACATTTAATTCAAGAGGAAGCTTAGATAACAATTCAATTAGCTAATATTTCAGTATGAAGGAAACTAATTTCCTTTCAAAGTAACTTACTTCGATAACATGTGGAAGAAAAGTTAGATTGTTATCAACTTACCTTCGGGTCAGAATCTTTAATTATAGCAGTAAATATTGCTTCCTTTTAAAAAAAAAAGAGAAAAAAGACATTATAAGATTTGAACTGTAAAATACAGCTTCACTAGCAGCAGCTAACTGGCAGTCACTAACCCCCAACAACTTTTTAGTTGCTGCTTTATTAATAAAATCAACAGCATCAGCACTTCTGACATCTGCACTATTGTCCTATCAGAAGACTGGGACCCAAAAAGACGTTTAAGAGAATCAGTCCTCAGTAGGACACACTGTCAGAATGTATAAACCAGGCAGTGTATAAAAGTCAGCTTAAATACAAAATCCTGCCCTGTATTGAAATGTTATCAGGCATCCTAGAATTTCAATATATTTTATTACTTACTTCATCTTTGATGGTCTTATACTGAGGCACCATGTTGATGCAGAGCTGATTTCCATCCAGTGACATTGGAAAGCAGGTGTAAAATTTAACCATGGAATCCGCAGATTTTCTGTTTATTTCAAGATATGCCTTTTAAAATAAAGAAAACAAATCTTTTTTTAAATTGTAATTTATCAAAAGCATCTCGCATCAATGCTTGCCACACTACGTTGTCACATTTGCATTTGCTAAAAACGCATTTGCAGCTTCTCTAGGTAGAAACACTACTAAATACCAATTGGAATACCTTTTTATGAGATGATAAAATCAGCACATCCCTCAGTCCTCCAAATGGCTTCGCTAGGTTGGAAACTTCCTCAACAGAATATCCTTTCTCAGGCAAGTTTGAAATAAGAACCACACATGTATCATCAAGTTCCTGTAATCAAACAAAAGTATTACTGAGATTTCTTCAACTCTAAATCAAAACCGCTGTATTACTGAATGGAGCATTTATTTTTACTATGCAAAACCACCATTAAACTGAATGAAGCACTTGCTTAAAAGCAGGTTATAATACTTACAATTACATCACAGGTCATTTAATCCTTTTTAGGATTTAGTAGCAAAGCATATTAAACTTTTTTTTTAACACTTTTTCTCTATGTCACGTAATCACCTTAATTACTGCTTAATCGTGGATGTGTCTACATCTAAGCTAATTCTGCACAATCCTTAGGTTGTCTCACACTACCCCATTGAAAATTCAAACCAAACCAAAAGCCCCTATAACTGCGCCACTACTTTATCTCCACGACATGCCCACACATCAAATACTGCAGGGCTGTACGTGCAAACACGGCATCTAACGAGAAGAAACGCACAGGAGGGCAAGAGGTGATCAGAGCACAAAGGAGTTTTGGTGTACCCAACAAACCCGAGGAAAAAATGAAAAAGCCAAAGAGTGAAACGGTAGAGTCTATCTGTCCTGGTTTCGGCTGGGATAGAGTTAATTTTCTTCCCAGTAGCAGGCAGAGTGCTGTGTTTTGGATTTAGTATGAGAAGAATGTTGATAACACGCTGATGGTTCAGTTGTCGCTCAGCACTGCTTATGCCAGTCAAGGACTTTTCAGCTTCCCATGCTCTGCCAGGGGCACAAGAAGCTGGGAGGGGGCACAGCCAGGAGAGCTGACCCAAACTGCCCCAAGGGCCGTTCCATACCATACGGCGTCATGGGCAGTATAGAAACTGGGGGGGTTGGCCGGGGAGCTGCGATCGCTGCTCGGGAACTGGCTGGGCATCGGTTGGCGGGTGGGGAGCAATTGCATTGGCCATCACTTGCTTTGGATATTACTATCGTTATCATTATTATACTGTTATTATTGTCATTACTATTTTACTTTATTTCAATTATTAAACTGTTCTTATCTCAGCCCAGGAGTGTTTCTCACTCTTACTCCTCCAATTCTCTCCCCCATCCCATCGGGGCAGGGGGAGTGAGCGAGCGGCTGCGTGGTGCTGAGTTGCTGGCTGGTGCTAAACCATGACACTATCAAATCACAAACAGCAAGGACAAAAGAAACTATTTGCTATTTCTCGCAAAGAAATTAACTGGCAGAGGATTTAAATTGGAGGTTTTCAGACAGCACACTTGGAAATGGCACCAAGCACATACTTAGGACCTCTGGACTGACCTTGCCAGCTGCTTCAGTTGACTCTTCGCTCTTTGTAGTCGCTATCGTAGCGTCAAAGAAAAAAAAAAAAAAAAAAAAACAAAAACCAAAAAAAAGAAAAAAAGTTGAGGTAGTTTAGTAGTTCGGCAGAGTTCTTTAAATACTGCAGAGCTTTAAGAACTTCTTGCATTACATTTTATCACCGTCATTGTGAAAAATGAAATATTCCTTCATTAAACTTACAGAGACAAATGACATTGGTGAGACACATACAGTGTTGTTATATAAATGCTTCCAGAAAGAATGGTTTTAAGTAAGTAAGTAAGGGATAAAAGAAATTAATTAAAATCCCTTAATTAACCTGCAAGCACTTCGCTGACATTAAGGCCGTATCAGCTGAACAATCACAACCACAAGACTTGGAGAGCACACTAGGACTATGTAGGTACCTAGCATGTGTCCACACAATCTTTCTTTTTCTTTCTTTTTTCTGGGAAAAGTCCACAGGGATATGCGAGAGGCTCAGAAAAATACAGAGGGCAGCAAACAGGAAAAGAGCAATCATACGGGACAGGCAAGTGCAGGTAAAGGAGAATCACTTCTACTGTAAAATGTTTGTATCTACCTGACAGGTTCGGCAGCTACAACCTTGCCACATCTCCACTATCACATGCACAGTAACTGAGAATTAATCTACACTTCAGCTGTGTTTAAACCAAAGTCTGTTATTAATTAGTCTGTTATTGATACAGCTGTATCAGCTGAACCTTCACAAGTCACCTTGTAGTGAGGTGGGTGTTGGGCTCTTCTCCCAAGGAACAAGCGATAGGACAAGAGGAAATGGCCTCAAGCTGCGTCAGGGGAGGTTTAGGTTGGATATTGGGAGAAATTTCTTCACGGAAAGGGTGGTCAAGCACTGGAACAGGCTGCCCAGAGAGGTGGGGGAGTCCCCATCCCTGGAGGGGTTCAACAAACGGGCAGAGGTGGCACTTGGGGACATGGTTTAGTGGGCATGGGGGTGTTGGATTGATGGTTGGACTGATGATCTTAGAGATCCTTTCCAACCTTAATGATTCCTGGTTTTTACTTTCATTAAAAAAATAATCCAGCCACCAAGCCAGGAAATATGAAATTCCGACTCTCCCCTTAATGGGTTTAGCGGTGGACTTGGCAGTGTCAGGTTAATGGTTGGACTGGGTGATCTTAAAGGTCTTTTCCAACCTAAATGATTCCATGATTCTATCCTAAGTCCATGGTGCCTGATGGGATTCATCCCAGAGTTCTGAAGGAGGTGGTGGATCTTACGGCAGGACCCCTCTCGATCATCTACCAAAGCTCTTGGGAGCCTGGGGAGGTCCCGGCTGACTGGAAGCTGGCCAACGTTATTCCCATCTACAAAAAGGGCGTGAGGGAAGACCCAGGGAACTACAGACCTGTGAGACCTCAGTTCCTGGAAAAATGATGGATAAAATCATACCGGGTACCATTGAAAGGCATTTAAAGAATAATGCAGTCATCAGGCACAGTCAACATGGGTTCACAAAGGGCAAGTCCCGTTTAACAAATTTGGTGTCATTCTACGATAAGGTCACCCACCCAGTGGATGAAGGGAAGGCGGTGGATGTAGTTTTTCTGGATTTTAGTAAGGTTTTTGATACTGTCCCTCACAGCATCCTTCTGGACAAGTTGCCCAGCTGTGGGATGAGCGGGTTCACGGTGCACTGGGTGAAGAACCGGCTGGCCGGCCGGGCTCAAAGGGCTGCAGCAAAAGGGGCTACGTCTGGCTGGGGACCAGTCACCAGCGGTGTTCCTCAGGGCTCGATCCTAGGGCCAGTGCTGTTCAACGTATTTAGCAACGATCTGGATGCAGGAGTTGAATGCACCATGAGCAAGTTTGCTGATGATACCAAGCCGGGAGGTGCTGTTGACTCTCTCAAGGGACAGGAGGCCTTGCAGAGGGATCTGGACAGATTGGAGCACTAGGCTAGGATTAATGGGTTGAAATTTAACCAAGTCGAAATGCTGGATTCTGCACCAAGGATGGAGTAACGCCACGCACGAGTACAAATTGGGAGAGGAGTGGCTGGAGAGCAGCCCTGCGGAAACGGACCTGGGGGTGCTGGGCGACAGCAGGCTCAGTAGGAGCAAAAGTAGGATGCAAAACACATCCCGGGGTGCATCAATCACGGCGTGACCAGGCGGTCAAGAGAGGGGATCATCCCGCCGTATTCAGCATTGGTGCGGCCTCACCTTGAGTGCTGTGTGCAGTTCTGGGCCCCACAATTTAAGGATGTTCAGGTCCTTGAACGCATCCAGAGGAGGGCAACAAAGCTGGTGACAGGGCTGGAAGGAATGTCCTCTGAGGAGCAGCTGAGGACTTTGGGTTTGTCTAGTTTGGAGAAAAGGAGGCTGAGGGGAATCTCACTGCGCTCTGCAGCTTCCTGAGGCGGGGACACAGAGGTGCTGATCCCTCTCCCTGGGATCCAGTGATAGGATGTGTGGGAATGGTTCGAAGCCGCGCCACGGGAGGTTTAGGCTGGACATTAGGAAACGTTTCTTTACCGAGAGGGCGGTCAAACCCTGGAACAGGCTTCCTAGAGAGGTGGTCGGGGCCCCAAAGCCTGTCAGTGGTTAAGAGGCATTTGGACAATGCCCTTAATACCATGCTTTAACTTTTGGTCAGCCCTGAGTCGGTCAGGTAGTCGGACTAGATGACTGTTGTAGGTCCTTTCCAACTGAAATAGTCTATTTTAATCAGTTATGAAATATGGGGAAAATAGCACCTATTTAACCAGCTCTAGCAGGCAATGGAAAGCACTGAGATTAAAAGAATTAGTGGTGGAGCTGCAAACAGAACATACAGAAAGCCTGAATCCTTTGCTCTGATGAGCTCTAAATGCAAGTCCCCAAGTCACACTGAAAAATCTAGGTAAAAATATTATGTCCACTGAAAGATGTAAATTTTGGGTGGTTTTAGCCACTTCAGTCATCACGATGAACCGTTGTTTAATTTTTCAGTCAGTGAACCTATTTTAACAGATTTTCTTTTCTGATACCCAGTGTCATGTTAATTTCCTGGCCTCAAAAGCATTCTCATTTAGTTCACAGAGAGGTTTAGGACAGCAATGAGAAAAACCCTTGTCAGTTTGCAATTTACCTTGATCAATTAAAGCTTCATGAAACTCATCCAAGTCCAACGCCGCCACATGAGGCATCTGCGCAAGTTTCTCTAAAAAATAAATACATTCGAGAAGACATCACAATGTTAAACTTCATCTAACTTACAACTAGCGAAGTAACCTGAAAATGACATTATTGTATCAGAATTACCTAGTACAGGTGCAGGATTAGTCACGACTTTGGACTGAGTCTCTCCTGTCTTCACAGGCTCTGTAACTCTGTCCCCTTCTGGAACGTTCTTTGGGTCTGACAGCTTCGTTTCCCCAGCTTCCATTTCAGCTTCTGTTGGGATCTGAAGGTCTTCATCTATAGATTTTGCTGGTAGGTAACAGCAGAAAAAAGCATTCTTCAGTTCAATATATTAAACTAAGCGATTTGCAAAACAAGAATGAACTACACTGTAAATTCTTCTGCCAGATTTTTTGTGCCGGATATTCAGAGGCCTCCTATCACTGAAATTCCCGCTCCTCATTACAAACGGGCACAAAATGTACATACAGGAAAAGCTTTGCCAAACAAGTGTATGGCTGCGGTTACGCAAAAGGCTCCACTTCTCCAAACTCATCTCCTTTCCCTGGTTCTTTGCTGTTCTAGATCTACAAACAGCGCTACTTATCGCTGCGCTAGCCAAGTCACAAGGAGCAAGAAGGGTGCTTGCCTATCCAACAATCTACTGGCAAGCCCAGGAAAAGGTGTGCAAAGCTTGGACTCGCTACCTTAAATATCTGCCCTGGAAAGGGAGGTGGGTAGAGGGTCAGAAAAGCACCTGCCTGTGTTTTCCAAGTAAAAAGTAAAAGTTCTCATTTGTCTTACCTGCAGTATTTGAAGTTTTCTTGATTTTACTATCTCCTGCCATTGTCGATTTCTTAGTCTTTTCTTTTTTACCTACGTAAAATACCCAAAACCAAGGAAGTCAGTAGAAATGCTTATTTCATAAGCCTTACATTTGTGAAGTAAGAGTATAAAAACGCATACAAAAATAGTTTAATCTGCAAAAATTCAAGTGATATGACCCAAAAAAACCCAAAACCTAAGTTAATTCCAACAAACTACCGAATGAAAGCCATGAAGTAGAGTATCTTATGTGAATTTGTTTAGGATTCTGGTAAGAAAACCTTGCTCCCGCAGAGAACTTGTGTTCTCTTTCTCTTAAATGACTGCAAACAATTCCCGGTTTCCACCTACAAGACAGCTGTGAAACACAGTTACATGAATCTTAATTCCATTCTAGAAACTGGATTCAGAAGTGGCCATGCTGAGGAATGAACCAAGACCAATATATCTTTAAAAAGCACAATCTCCTATCAAAATAATGTCTGGTCCCTAACTTTGCTCAGAAAAATTGTTCATGAAAGCCAATAAAACAAGCAACAAAAAAATGATATGGCTGTTATTTCCAGTGTCTTAATAATACCAAGTTTTTGTAAAGTTTTGTTGGCTTTTGATGTATTTACGGCAGTTTGTCCTGTTTTCACTGAAGTACTAAAGGGAAAAAAAAAAATTCTTCTCTAACAGCATGACATACAAGTTTTTCTGCCAGACCAAGTAATAAGAATAATTGAAATAATTTCTGTGAGGATCAATAGAAGACCGGGGCAGAAATTTAAAAGCATTTGGAACATACCAGGAACGTAAGACACCGGGAAGCACTAGCACTAACCGCGAAAGAGCGTGTTAAACACATTATACATTAGGCTTAAAGTCAACTTGAAGAATCACACAAAGTCCCTCACTTGTCTCCAACAGGTGGGGCAAACGTTTAAAATTATGGAGTATAAGCACAGGTCAAGGTGGCGGGTTTTTATTGCTACTTGAAGGTTGGTTTTTGTGGTTTTTTTCAAAAGAAAGAAAGATAGGATCGCATGAAAAGGAAGACATTTGAAAGTATAAGCCAGACGTTTTCTTGTAGCGCTCAACTTGCTTTCAGTCACTCTTATGAAAAGCACTCGCATAAAAACAAAGAAATGGGGACAAAGAGGGTATCATCAGATAAAAGGTAACCAAAACCTCACCTGTAATGGATTTAGTTGTCTTACTCGTGGTGTTCTGATCTTTTCTATTATGAGAAAAAAAAAATTTAAAAAAAAAAAAATCAGTTTTAAAGACAATTAAAGAATATTAAAACAGCCAAAGAAGCTCAAAAACAGTAAAACACAAGAAACCAAACAGACAGAAACCCATCTTGGTTTCCAATCATTATAACTAACTCTAATGCATGCAATTGCAACACTTACTTTGTGCTTGGTGTGACTTTTTTAACATTCTGAGCCCGTTTTTTTATAGTCATTTTGGCCTGGAAGGGACAGAAAGAAAAATTTTTACTGCATCAGTTATACTTTATTTATAAATGTATACAAATACAAATATGAAATAGTATTAATAATTGTTAATAGTAATTAAGTATATACATTAATATAGGTTGTATCTTTCACTGTTTGTTAAACTGATACTATTCACAAATACCAAATTTAACCAAGAAAATTGGAAAACTGGAATTAGGAAGTGCATTTGCCTGTTTATTTTAGACTGCTGTTTATGAAAAGGAAATGAAAAATATGTTAAAACTACTAAATCTACTTTTTCTGGAGAACATCAAGTTTTGGAGGAAAACGCCAAGCTACCGACGAAGTATCAGGCTGTGCGCTACCAGGCTGCTTACCTGGCCAGGAGACACTTTTGGCTTTTCTGCTACACTTATTTTCACCCGCTTCCCATTTACCAGCACTGGCACAGTTTCACCGTATTTCACAGCTGCTATCACGGCTTCTTTGTAGTTCATTTCCAGGAAGGCCTAAAATAAATGGCACTTCAGTCTTTGTTTGTATTACAGGCACAAGATATAATTCAACTGCAATTTTTCCTTAAGAAATCTGCTCAGGACAGAACTGCGTGTACTTCTCTAAGTTCATGTGGAGTTCGAGGAAAAAGTCTGGACTTCAGTATTATACAAAAAGCATCCTACTTCCTCCAACATTTAAGACTTAGGTAGCAAGTTTTTATAAAGTTAAGATTCCCAGCTATTCCAAGATTACGTATGTGATCTTTAATGACAAACTGTTCAGGAAGCCTTATCCTACGTCCAGCTGAGGATCCAAATATTACACTTTTTCATTGCTTGACAGCTTCTTTCTCATTCTGACACAAAAGCTTTCTACAGGAAGACTTACCTCATTTCTAGAGCGAAGGACAAGGAGATCACTAACTTTGCCAAATGGCTGAACAATTTTTTTAATATCTTGATCTGAAAAGCCATCATCTGGTAAATCAGATATCTGAAGGACTGTCCCACAACTCAGCAATTCCTCCCTCAACAGCTACAAATCGAAAACAAAACAAAAATAAACACTTTCCAAGTCAAGTCCAGTAAAAGGAAGAAAAAAGAATCTGTAATAAAAATTACTTCAAAGTAGACGGACTGCTTAGTTCACGGTGGCATTTTGACGTTTTTGATTTTTAATACAAGGACAGAGCCACAATTTTGTTGTTCTACTACTCTGTCTCAATCTTCAGCTATTAGAAAACATGGCATAGGTTTACCAAGTAACACAACCCAACCTTTTTGTTTCTGTCGAGTACTATAGATCTACGTAACTCCAGTTGTCTGGGCTGTACGGGCAAGGAGCTGCACAATTCCACTGCTTTCCTTTCAGTACTATCTATGAGCTTTCAACAGCACTAGGCAACGTTCACTTTGCTTATCATTCAGAGGCTAGAAACCACCGAGGACGACTGCACCTACACCTATCCCCTAGTAACCCCATAGGAATCTGGTTTGTAGGCAGTGTTTCTGAGAGATCCCAACAAGTCAGTACGATGGACTCGGACAACACTGGGCTTAAGATCCCTCTTACAACAAGAGCAGTAAATCTCTCTGCCTCGTCTTTTTTGCTTGACAGGACAAAATGAACACTTTCTGCCCCCTTTCCGTTACTTTTATTTACACAAACAGAGCTCCACCACTCACGCTTCATACAAACAAGTGCCCAGTAGAACCAGGACCCCAATTTAATGGACATTTCTTTCTGCTGTTGGAAAGCACTAGGGAGGTTTTACTCTACATCTGTTAAAAAATCCCTGCTCTGTAGATTACCACGCTTACGTGCAGCCAGGAAATCTTTGCGTGAAGATGGCAGTATCTATTGCACAGAATCTGCAAACAGAATGGTTAATCCTTCCCCAGGTGATCCCCCTGAAATGGGGTACTAACCACGTTCTTAAAAATCACAGAGACAAACGTTAAGGAACTCACCCTATTATAAGGAGCAGGACGAGGTCCACTGGTTCCTGTGGGTAAGTCTTCCTCATCCTCTTCCATTTCTTTGCTTGGGGGTAAATCATCACTTTCAGGAGATGAAGAACTTGACCCAGGCAAAGGCGGCACGTCTTTCTTCGAAGCCTTTGGAGAAACACCTGTTTTCAGCGGCTTCTTCATATTTCCAGGCATCTTCCCTAAGGGTCCATGAGAGGGTGGTGATTTTCGCAATCCCGAAGATCCTTGCCCAGCTGCTTGAAGTGACTTATGTTTATTGAACTCTGCCACAAAGCCAGGACCCAGGCTTTTCACTACTGCCTCCAGAGCTGCCTTTCTGTCTGTGAGCGGAAGGGAAAACAAACTGGGGTTTGTTTGTTCATTTTTAAAAGACAACTTACATACAGTGCTGTTTGGTTTTCTACAGTTTTAGTTTCACCACCCACTGCTGATTCAATCTGGAGACTCGCTGAAGTTAGAGCGCCTTAATCACACTCTAGCAGAGGTGGCCTATAAATAATAATAAACCTCTGTGCTATGTTAACACACTGTCCTGTCGTGTAATTTGACATTTTTAGTCAGAGTGACAACCTGATATGGGCAACGATGTCTACAAAAATCCTAATGGCTGGAGCAAAATGATTGTTTTAACTTCGTATGCCAGGGAATGTAAGAAAAGAAAAGACGTTTTCAAGACTTTGATCTTCCTCTCACATACTGATGCACAGCAGTACTTGCTATCTCGATGGTTGCTGCTACATCCAGTATCCTTCTCTGTCTGCTCTTTTGTCCTACAGACTGAGGTTTTAAATTATTCTTCAACGATCTGATACAACATTAATTTCCTGCATGCTTTCTTCCTGGGGAAAACTTCTATTAATTATTAATATTAAGGTTAAGAGGTTATTAATTGCCTCTTCCCCTCATTCGTCTACATTAGAATGGCTTGCTTGTTACGCTTAAGAAGATCTCTTTGAAACTACCTGTCCCTTCCCAACTTTTCACCCTGACTTCTTTCCCACAAGAGCTCAGTACCTCTTAATACAAACAACAAGCCACAGTATACAGATCAAAGGAAAAAAAAAAAAAAAAAACAATTCAACCTTTTAAAATTCCCCTATTTTTTTTCTCTTCAGAATTTAAACACTCTAAACGAACTGGTATTTCAGCCAGAGACTGAGCTCAAAATGAACTACATGGAACTGACTGAGTTTACATAAAATTTCCTAGAACTGCAAACTGGAAGAAATAAGCTGAAGGGAGAGTCACAAAACAGTGCAGCCAACTTAACCATTACAAAGTATGTTTCACTGAAAGCCTTTCACATATCACGCTCTTATCTCAACAAAATTATTTCAGAACACTCTGCTTTCCTTATAAATTGCACCTCCATTCCATGCAGTTTCCGAGCATCGCATTTTCTCTCTCCTCATCTACACACTGCCTTTGCAGAACTGCATTTTTTGATGCTGAAGGAAGACGACCCTTCAGTTGTTTTCAGTTCTTGACTATCCTTGCTGGCTTAAAAACCGAGCACGCTTGGAACAGACAGGTGTTCCGCAGTTATTTGATATGATTAACCAACTCCTGACACCAGGTAAGGAAGACTTCAGACCTTTTAAAATGCCCATTTTCTTCTAAGCATACTTCTCACAAAGCAACAGCAAAAGGAAAAGTTGTTTCTAAAAACAGAATTTTGCTATGAAAAATGCCTAGGTGATACCTGGACAGATAAATCTCTTGCAATCAACTCAGTCTTCCTGAAATTAAAGGACGTTTCAATTTGGCAGTGCCTATCCACCCTTTACCTTGAGATCGGGTTGACCTCCTTGATGACCAATCATTACTGGAAGACCTCTGAGGTCGTGGACTCGTTCTCAGGGGATTTCTCGATCGCTGCGGTGACCTTGACCTGTGTCTGGGGCTACGTCGTCGCATCTGCCGCGGGCTTCGACTTCTTGGCCTCGTTGGCCTGAAGCGGCCAGGGCTCCTGGATCTCGATCGTGATCGGCGAAGAACATAGCCAGAGCCCGCAACCCTCGAACGTCTAGGACTGGGACTGGCGGAGTTGGAACGACGCTTCGGGGTCTGGTTTTCTTTTCTGTCACCAGCATTTCTAACAGAATAAAGGCATATAATGAGTTTTGACACGGCAGAAAAGAATAATTAACCCAACTCTGCCGAAACAAACTTTCTGCAAAAAAGAGCCAAAACTGACACACTTTAGAGTCTAATTTGTTAACAAACATATTTTACATACTGGTAACAGGTTTGCTACATGAATTCAGGATAGATAGACAGAACTGAAAAGAAGCAAGCAGGAGAGAAAAACCTGCACGGAACAAGAGAAACCTGTAAAGAAAACTGAAATTACAAGCTGCAGTGCTATGAAAAAATAATAGGAAGAGGAAAAGGATACATGAAAGAGTAATGAATTAAGAAACTTTCCTTGTTTCTTCCAAATTTAGCTTGGAAGTAAGCAAGCTTGAGACATTATGTCTGAAAGACTGACTGAGACCAAATAAGAGATTTGAGAGGACTACATAAATATACATCCCCTGCATACTTATGCTACCTAGAGATGTCAAATTGATGAAGAACATGGAAAGAAGTAACAGTGAAGAGATCCACGAGAGAAACAGTCCCTCTTAGAGACACGGTGAAGCAGTCAGGCACAGGAAAACCCTGACAGGACAGATCACAGCAGTAAAGGGGAAAACCTTGAAAATGCACTGAGCATACGCTTAAATATCCAGAACATTTCTAATGACCTTGGCAGGTGGCAGGCCAGTGTGTTACAGCCAAACACTTGGCCAATTTTTTAGCCCATACCAAATTCTTTGATGCCAAAGATACACTGCACCAACACTCAAAACCACGTAGAGCAGACACAGCACCTTTGAGATCTGAAACTGGAAGAAGCCACTGATGCAGCATATCCTTCGGCTCACTCACTAGTGATTCTAGCAGCAAAACTAAAAGAAACACAGGAAATAACTGACATGGCACGTATGCCCAGTACGACCAGACTTACTGGGAAGGCTGCATGCTGGACATCTAAAACACACAAGTCTCTTAACACAAGATGGAGGAGACGTTCACATTTCAACTGAAAAGTGTCTAAATTTTGAGCCCCTCACTACAAGAAGGACATTGGGGTGCTGGAGCGTGTCCAGAGAAGGGCAGCGGAGCTGGGGAAGGGTCTGGAGCACAGGGCTGGTGGGGAGCGGCTGAGGGAGCTGGGGGTGTTCAGCCTGGAGAAGAGGAGGCTGAGGGGAGACCTGATCGCTCTGCAGCTCCTGGCAGGAGGGGGCAGGGAGGGGGGTCGGGCTCTTCTCCCAAGGAACAAGCGATAGGACAAGAGGGAATGGGCTCAAGCTGCGCCAGGGGAGGTTTAGGCTGGATATTAGGAAAAATTTCTTGACGGAAAGGGTGGTCAAGCATTGGACCAGGCTGCCCAGAGAGGTGGGGGAGTCCCCATCCCTGGAGGGGTTCAAAAAACGGGCAGAGGTGGCACTTGGGGACATGGTTTAGTCTACTCTACCCTTAATTGGTTTAGTGTGGACTTGGTAATGTCAGGTTAATGGTTGGACTGATGATCTTAAAGGTCTTTTCCAACCTAAACGATTCGATGACTCTATGATTCTATAAATAGGTTAAGGAGGGAGGACTGACAACTGGCAGACAGGAGAAGGGGATGACAAGCAACTGAGGCAGCTGCTGCCCAACCTTCTGGGCCAGCAGCTAGATGAGGACAGCCGAACAACCCTCAGGTCTCCTAAATGTTCCTCCAAGCCACCCCATGTAGTGATATCTCACAGCGTTACTCAAAAGGATGAAATTGCTGCTCTCCCCTTAACTGGTTTAGTGGTGGACTTGGCAGTGTCAGGTTAATGGTTGGACTGGATGATCTTAAAGGGCTTTTCCAACCTCAACGATTCGATGATTCTATGATTCAATTAACAAGTTTCAAACATCATTAAAAATCCATGTAAATCCCATTACTCCTGTGCCCCATAAAAATGTTGGAATGTGTTAACGAACCAGCCCAATTTACGAAAAGCAAACACCGTGAAGTGATTTACCAGAGCAGTAACAGCACACAGCAAGCTCATCGACCTTGCCCTGAGACTGCACCCAGCAGCTCTGGACATCTGCGATCACCGAGAGCCTGCAGCCGTGTTCCAACACTCCCAGCTGGAGACGTGCTGTCATCAGGAAGGATTTAAGAAAGCACCACCCTGGAAGACAACTCTTGCCCCACCTACAAGCACAGAAGATCCCTCACGGACAAAAAGTGCTATTAAACATTTTGCCAGTTTATGAAGTTCCTCCAGCTAAGAGCAGTTTCCTCTGCCTGGGCTGTATATAACATCAGCAGCACTCGACAGCAATATCAGTTTGAGGTTTTAAAATACCATTATTTGCTTCATGAACGTTTCAAAAGTTTATTTGTTTTATTCCTCTCCTTAAAGTTTTATTTCTCCTTCTTTATTAACATGGAGAGACCTCAGATGCACTCTGCAAATTAACCTGACCTACATATCCAGCTTTTTAACTTTTTTTTTTAAAAAAAAAAAAAAAAACCCTGAATAGTTAGCTTCTCAGGAAGTATGTCAAACTAATTAATAGAAAGTCACGGGAAGATCTAGCAAAAATTAAAGTCCTATCATTCCTACTTGTGTGCAAGTTGAAATATGTACAAACGTTGAACCAGTAAAATAATCCAATCCTGCTGAGATTCAAGTACAATTAGTCCACAGGGTGTGTTTTTTAAAAAAAAATTAAGAGTAAACAGCATAATTTTTAAGGACGGAACAGACATGAGTTCATGAATTCCAGTGTTTTTTCAAGTTGTGACCATGTAGCTCCTCAAGGGATCTAAGGATTGAACAGACTGTTCAATCCGAGCTAACGCTGGCACGCCTGTTGTCAAGCAGGTTTCAAGTTGCAAACAAGAGTGGCTTAACTGGAAAAAAGATTAAAAGTCAGAAATCACTCACGCAGTTTAATCAGTGACCTGACACTGCTCAGTCTCGCTTGGTTACTATCGTATCGCAACCAACAACTTACAACTAACTGAAGCACGGTTAGAAGAAGGGTTCAAGGGGAGATTGCTGACAGTGTCAGTACTCAGGCTTTCCTACAGACTTTACTCTCATCCTTGCGAAAGAATTTTAGATACTACGCCACTCATGTTAGTAAATAAACTTAGGACAAAACCCACAAAAACACCCCACGCAATTTTACCATGACAATATGACACCACTAATAGGGCTTGCCAGTCAGCAAAACGGGAAAATTAATTGCACCGATTACCACGTTTATAATAGCAACAAATTAAAAACAACCTGTAATCAAAAAGCAGTTACCTCTTCGAAGACTGAGACTCAGGGTTCCAATCGGGGTATCTGTTAAATGTTAAAAATATGACCGTCAGTGAAAAAGGCTGAATTTGGCATCTGAACACAATTTTTGCTTACATGCAGTAGCTTTTACAGATAAACGTTCCCGTTCAGGACTCCAGAAGCACCAAGTGTCACTTCATCTTTCACCCGAATGGTCTAAAGCCAATTTAGAATAGCGCTCAGCTACAGGCAAGCCTCATGAAGGAAAAATGACAAGTCCGTTCTCCCAGACTACGTGCATGCACAGAAAACGCTTTTTACGCTACGTGAACTTTTTAAACGGATTCCTTACTGTTGACGTAACTGGCGGCAGCTTTCAATGTGAGAAGGAGTGTTCTGATGCAGAATCCAGTCCTAATTGGAGAAAAGACATCCAGAGACGTTTGATTAGTGTGTACAATGTTAGCATTTGACCACACTTTCTATTACATGTTGTCGTATTTTACCTCCCATCGAATTTTACCTAACAAATGATCTTATGTCAAGGTCAAATTTCTCACATCAAGTTATTACTCTCTAGGCAAAAGATGAAAATACCTAATGATTATCAAAGGCTTGTAAAGGAACACAAAGGAATCTAAGTGGAAGCTGAACAAAATGCATTGTATGAAACGAATCTGTTACTTCCAGCAACACACTGGGTTGTTGTCACCACGCTTCCAATGCAAAAGGTTGATCCAACAGCCGGCTATATTAAAAGAAAGAAAACTATTAGCAGTCTTCACAGATTGTCAGACTGATGAACACACACACGACAAATTAAGCTGAATAGATCAGAGAACCCGACACAAAATGGTATTTTAAGCCAAAAATCATTTCTACAGAGGCATGACTTTTCATGCCTTAAGCTCAAGAACATTCACTCCTAATAATGTTACAGCTAAAGGTCAGTCACAAAGCCTGATGAAATTTTTCACGCACACACTTTTTTTTTTTAATATTAAAAAACCAGAAGTTTTACTTGGAAATAACTGATGGGTTAAGCACGAGACAAATCCAGAAGTACAATGCAAGCCCTCAATCTTGAAAAATACTTAAGCACAGGTTTAACTGTAAACACAGAATCAGTCCCCAGCATAGGAAACTATGCCTGAAGACTTTATTCTATTATTATGATGATGATGATGATGGTAAACTGACCTGCTAGCAAAAGCAACTGCTGTAGTCACTTTGCTATTAAGAGGAGATAGTGCATGGTCTGAAGCTGTAAGGTATCATATGTCGTCAACATTAATTATTAAGCGTCCTTAAAAAAACAACTTCTAGCTGCTTTAATATTTTAAAATAGGTAATAATGGCTCGGTAATGCAATGACAGGCAAGGCTTCATAAAATAATTTGCAGCTGCGAAATTACGGTGTGACTTTTTCAAAGCGCGTGGTGGTTTACAACACAAAAGATTATAAAATGCTTAGTTGGCAGTATCAAACTCTCTTGTTTACAGACAGAAATGCTGAACACACGGGTTAAAAGAAAAGCTCGTGATGGTTTACTCAAAGCCTACGAGATGGAGAAATGAATGTGACCAGGGCAGTTAGTTTTGTACATTTTGGCAGCACAGAGAACAGGGTGCAAACGGCTTTTCCTTGCACTGACCGTATCAGCCTGTCAACACCAAAACGTGCTACAGGAGAGCTATCCAAACTATTATACTCCACATATAAAACCCGCGGGTTTTAAAAGAAATTAAAACACATTTTAAGCACAAGACTTAGTAGAATTTCCTGAAGAAACAGATATACTGGGTGACCAATCTCAGAAAGGCACTGGAAGATTTTACTAGCTGTAAAAGCTGTTCATAAAAGCACTGTAGCTGTTCAAATAAAGTCAGAAAAATATCACTCAGAAGCCCCCCTGCTAGTTGAACCAAAGCATATTAGGAGTTGAAGAGCAGGCTGATACCACAGCTTGCAGCTGCAGAACTGCATGCACAGCGAATACACAGCATGCACGCAAGTAAAGAGCAAGCCATTCACCATCATACGCTTTTTTTTTTTCCTGATAACATGCCGTTCTAAGCAATCCCATTCTTAAGAACGCCGTTTTTCTAGTGTCTTCAAGTTTGACAGGAAAAAGAAAGGCTATTACTCAAGGGCTAAAACAAGTTCGCTCATGGAAATGGAAGGAAACTGGGCTTCGAGGATCCCACTTCCGCGGTCCCAAACGAAGAAAGCGCACAGTGTCCGCGAGGGCGAGGGAGGCCATTTTGCTTCCAGGCGTCTTTAGCTGCCGGTCCAACGAGCATTAACGAGACTGGCAGGCCTACAAAGAGATATTCTCCTCCCTCACAAACACAACATTCTTCTCTTCTTCAAGTCTTCATTATGCCAATGCCCTCTTGCATTTCACAGAATTACCGGAGTCTCGATTTATGCATATTTCTCCTCTTTGATTAATTCCTTGCCCTTCTCAGTCTTCAGAAATATTCCGCTCCCTCTGGCAAGCCTGTCCCCAAGATCCTTCCCCCCCAAAGGAGCGGATCCCTTCCCAGCACAAGCACTCCCCCACGTCCTGGAAGGGGTAAGAACTCGCAGCCGGTTTCCTACAGCACCGGCACCGCTGCTCCACACCCCGGCAACCCCCAGGGACGAGCACCTTCGCTCCCTGCCCCGCGCGCCCGGCAAACCTCCTGCAACTTGGGGATCACCCCCAAAAGGGTCCTGAAGGAGCAGCTGATGGAGCACAGCACCTCCAGCCTCCAAACTCGCCTCTTCTGCCAGTTACTATTACTACAGGATAGCAGTAACACACAGGCGTAGCACCTGCGCTCGCTTGCGCTGCTCTCGCAGCGAGGTATCGCGTAGAAAAACTGGGAGTAAAAATGGAGTAGACCCCGGTTCGTCCCCTTGCTCCAGCACAATTCCTACTTCAGAAGTGCAGTTCTCTGCGGAAAACAGTGAGTCCCCATGCAATTTAAAGCCCAAGAAGACATCGCCCTCACTTTAAACCTACTTAAGCTAGAAAACAAAAATTGCAATACATGGTAAATACGATCCCTCCTGCTGGCAATATTGCAAGTCGACTTTGTTCCAAAAGCGACATGTGTGTGAAGACAGAGAAATCACACTTTACTATTCCAAGAGAGCCACCATTTCAAGTTAAGAAGGAAGCTGCTCTGTGAAATATTTATAAAATGTAAATATATTTGAAAGAAGACAACACAGAACTAAGGTTCCATCTAAGGGCACAATTGGGCGCTCTTCCCTGAAAAAATGTCACAGGACACAAACGCACAAATTTTTGAGAACACCTTCCAGACCACCAAGTCACCTTAGCGTCAATTAATTTTCCAAATTCATTTTTCAAAGCTCAAAAAGCCCACCTTTCTTGTATACGTTTTCTTCTAGCACAGTATCGCGTACAGCCAGCTCTGACAAAAGCTACAGAAACCTTCCTAAGGCAAGAGAAAAATAAGGACAAATCTTTCGCATGTCGGATGCTGCTCCAACAACAACAAGCCTTCAAGTCCATGGCGATCACCGTTTAGCGCAAACCCCCGGTACCGCAGCCAGCTCAGCCTGTCAGAGCCGGCGCCTGGCTGAAGGAGCACGGAGAGCCGAGCCTGAGGGCGCGCTGGCGATTCGGAACGTGGCACTTCTCCCAAAAACCTCACCGAGACCCCGCTGAGGCGGCTGGAGGCAGCGTCAAATAACCGAGGCTGCCGCCACCTCTTTCTAAAGAGCCAGGGAACAGTTTCGATAGGAAAAGAAACAGTGAACAGAGTCTTTGCAAAGTCTACGGCATGAAACAGCTGAAGTGTTCTTCACATTCAGCCCCGGACCGTAGGCAGCTTATGCAGCTGCTGACCTGCCACGTATCATCGCACACAAGCCTTATCCATACGCCTTGCAAAAAGGTTTCAAAGCTTAAAAAAAAAAAGAAAAAAAGTATATATTTTTCATGGACAGACCTACAAAAGCTATGCCATGCAGAGAGAAGATATTTTACCTTTTGAGTTCTGAACAGTGTATAAGCAAAAAAAAAAAAAAAAAACACACCTTCAAATACATATAAACAGCCCCATAGAAGAGGTGTTCAGGATTCTTTTCAGATTACAAAAGAACTGGAAAATACAGTTACTTGCTTAGCTGTATGATACTCAAAACTCTGTATTTTGGTATACTGCAGACATTATCTTAAGGCCATCTTCAGCTTTGATTTCATCAGAGCTCATTAATGAAGCAAGTCCGACACTTAAGAAGAAAGACCTCTGGGGAGAACTGATGGGGTGCTTTGGGGAAGAGCAGAAGCATTTGTCACTCCAAGCCAAAACTCAGCCGGTGTTTCGCTGCATTTATGGAAGAGCCAAGCTGAAAGAACAAGGGGGATGCAGTTCAGACGATGCAAATATGAAGTTTCAGCTGCTAATGGTCACCGTCCTGACTCTCTAGGAGCAGGAGTTGGGGCTCACATCCGGCCGTAATCCCGTCATTTTAA